TTCCGATAGTTAAACCTGATTTGCATGCATTTGCATAATGAATGTCATTTGCATTCTTGGAGGTTGGCTACTTCTGTGGGAAAAGTCAAAGCAGGATTGTGGGGGGAGGCAGAGGGGGGTCGGCAAAGAAAAAACGGAAGACTTTTTTTTCCGCCCCCCTCCTGCCCCCCAGATGTCCCCTCGCTGTCCTCTCCCAAATGGAGATTTTAACGGGATGTCTTTCTGCCTTTTTCCTTCCGCAGGGCACACAAAAGCCAAAGGCAGATAGGCCTTTTTTGAGCCGAAGCACATCCTTTCTTTGCTGCTGTTCTCATTTTTTAACTTGCTGCTTTCGGTGCTCCGTGGCCTACCTTCCTCCGCACCCTGCCACGAATACCGAGCTCTCTCCCTGCTCCCGGCTTACACCCGAGTGTGTGTGCGTGTGTCAGGGGGGAAGGAATAGAAGAGAAAGAGGCAGGGGGGGTGGGAAAGATGGAAATCCACCATTTTAGGCAGCTGGCATCTCTAAAATGGCCGATCCTCCTCGCAGGTAATGAGTGATGTGCTGGTAGCTCGCTGCATGACATAGCACTTGCATTGTTCACCCCACGGAGAGTCGTGGCATGGAGAGGTAGTGGCAGGATTACCCGTGGGCGAGGATGTGGATTTATCTCGGCTAGTCTGAGGCTACGTCTTCAGCCTGCGTGCGTGCGTGCGTGCGTGCGTGCGTGCGTGTGTGTGTATAGGAGAGGGGGATCTCTTTAATGTTGAGATCCCCATCTTGATATAAAATCCTTGAATCAGAACTCGGGGGAGAGGTGATATCTTTTATTAGACCAGCTCGATTTTTGCAAAAAATATTCTTTATTTGCAAGCTTTTGGGCACAAGCATCCGTCTTCAGGCACAGGAGAAAAGGTTGTAAGAGTTCTCCCCGGTAGCAATGAAAGTTCATATTTCATAGGAGAGTTCAAGTTCATTGTGGAAATGAAGACCTCTGTGTTGCAAAAAACCCCCTGGCCGTGGGTACAACATCACCCGTGATGCTGCTAGCCAAGGTCAAAACCTACCTGTCCCTTGTCTCTTCGGGGGTCTGTACATCGAGATGGCTGTCTTAGAGTAAGAAACCCCAAGGTGTTTTTTGTCGTCTTTTATTTTTTGGGGTAGGGGTTGGGGGCCGAAAACACAAATGAATGAACTGCTTCTGTTCTCTTACACACAGTTATCAGCAGGGTTGGTTAAAAAAAAGTGTGGTGGCCTTTAAAAATATAGATGTGTGCGCTACCACAGAACAGATGGCGTCAGCTTAGTTTTTTAAAAACTCAACTTGAAAATTTTCAACTTCAGTTTCAGAATTTTCTCTGTGTGTCACTGGCGACGAGGTTGCATTTCTAGAACCATCCTTTTTTTCTTTTTCTTTTTTTTGGTGGACTTCTAATCAATTATTTTTTTCCCAGTCACAAGAAAAAAAATCTGCAGCTCTCAATTTCCATTGCTCCACACTTGGGGTTGTCATTTATTTCCGTGGAAAGTACGCATGAAACGTGGTCAAATCGGAACGTGGCGTTTTGCATCCATTTCCCTTTGGTCGAAAAGACAGTGGTTCAGGGTAATGGAAAATCAGCCCGTGTGTATGTGCATAGTTATATTTGCCTTGTATCCATGTATTGGTGTGCCTCTCACATAGGAGAGTGAGAGCTATCTCTATCTCTGTCTTTGTCTCTGTCTCTATCTCTATCTCTATCTCTCTATCTCTATCTCTATCTCTGTGTCTATGATATAACCCACCTGCATTTCAACTCTTGTGATTTTATAGCAAATTTCATAACATTTTATGGGTTTTTTCCCCCCTTAAAACCTTAGCAACTGGAGCCCTACAATGAAGGCAGAATTCCAGCCTATTATTATTATCGTTATTACTATTATTATTATTATTATTATTATAGGAAGTAAGTTTGTAGGCCTCAAAGAGGCAGAGAAAGGCTTGACGGTGTGACTCAGGCACAGCCAAACAGGGCCAAGAAGGAGAAGGAAGATGAAAGGAGCCCCCAAATAAATAATAAAAAAGACCTGGTGATTTTTTTTTAAAGTGCATTTCATGATTTTTTTTTTCCCTGCCACGATTTTTGCATTTTTGTAGTTATCACTACTAGCCAGTATGATATTCTATATGTAACTATGTAGACTTGAGGTTATAGTGGGAGATGGTCTTTTTTCAAAATCTCACGCACTTTTCATATGTATTTTTTTTCTTTGCTTCCCATCTAAGTGAAAGGCCCTGTGAACCTAAGACCGCCATCCTGCAAAGACTTTAAACGGGAAATAACCCAGTTGCCTTCTTTGGGACCCCTCCAGTGTTTGAAGTGCAGCATATTTCTGTCTGTATAGGGTCAAAGCTTGGAATAGCTTTGGCTTCTGTTTTAATGCCACGTTGCCATATCATGGCATGATGTGGTTGGCTCTGAGGTGCTTACAGGGAAGAGTGACGCTATATAATGAGACTCTCTTTTTTTATTGCAGCTGGGAGGACAGGCCTGGCCTAAAGGAAGCATTCTTTATAGACTTGGTAAAAACACATTCAAATGCAAGACTATTTATCTCCCTGTTACCTTGTTCTTCCCCTCTTTGCTTGTTGTAAACCCTGCGTGGCAGGCAACTACCTTCTTGCAGTATGCAGATACAGTACGTGACACATGGGGAATTCTCAGTGGAACTATAATAAAAGCAGGTTTGATCCTTATTTTGTGCTGCTGTGGCATAGGAAGGGGCTTTAAAGTGTAATTATGGTCATGTGCATTTATGGTGCTACAATGGAGAGGAGGAAAAGGGGCCTGACTATAAGTGAGAATAATATCTTGGGGTCTGCATGCCCCACTGGAATCCCTTTCACCCAGTTATATATGTTAGCCCAAGGTACAAAGGGGAAGCAGCTGTGGGGTCTTTTTTTGCCTTTGCCTGCCAACTTCCTTATCCAAGAATGGAAAATACTTTCCTAAAGCTTGCAAAAATGTGCTAAGGCTCTTAGTTATTTAGCTTAGCAGCACCTACTTAGTCACATTCTCACTGCTTTTATTTATAACCTTAGTCAGCGCTGGCTCCCCCCTTTCCTCCCACTCCTCCAAGGTTTTTTGGTAGGCTTGGCTTCACATCAGAGCTGGGAGGGAAGAGGTGTAGGAGTCGAGACACCTGGGTGCTATTCTCAGTGTTGCCACTGACTCAGTGGTGACCCGGGGGAGTTGGGGGTTGCTGGTTCTCTCTGCTCAGACTGTCATCCGGTTACTCCCACTAAAGAGGGTGGGATTTGCACACGAGCAAAGGTATTGCAACCTGACCCGAATTGCTGCTTTGTCCACCTCTATACCAAAACGTGTGGGGTTTTTTAAGGGATGGTGTTGGGAAGTTTCAATAAATGCACGGATCTTGAACAGCTGTGGATGAAAAAAGGCAAGGCAGGTGCCCTGAGTTTACTCGCCCTGTGAATAAATAAAGCCAATTAAGCCTTGCTGGAAAGGAATACAGCATTCGATGATAATGGTCCTAAACAATACAGTCCAGATCCTCTGCTGGGGTGGATGAGTATGCACCCACCGAAATGCAGGTGATTGCACCCCTTGATGACCGCTGAGGGTCCGGTCAAATATTTTTACAACAGCATTGTAAGCAGTTTTGCTACGGGAGACCTCCAGCATGAAGCAGAATTAAGTACATCAGGAAGCGCTGGGCAGAGCCAGCTGCAAAGACAAAACCCTTCCGATTTTTTTTTTTCTTGCTTCTCAGCAAGTCCCTCTGCTATTGTGGGATCAGGGAGAGGAGACCTGCCACATGCGAATGAGAGGAAGAATGGCTGCGCCGCTAACGTGATGGGAATGGTGGTTTGCTGTGTTTACTTTTTGGTGGAAAGAGGATTATCAGCTCTGTCATTGTGGCTGCTGCTGACTTTTTTTTTAATATCGGGATGCTACCGCATTTATGTTCTCAGATCCTCATTCAGGGCTGGTTTTGCGGGGTGGGGGGAGGATGATGCTATAGCTGAAATCGCAAGCCTGGAAATGGGGCCTTTGTGAATCTGAGCAGGGCGCAGGGAATGCTTTGTCCTTATTCACCTTTGTTTTAGCCCTTGGTACTGCCACCTGTCCCCAGAGCATCTGAACGCCTTCCATGTGAAGTAGACCGGTGGTGACAAATTAGCCATCGTCCCTTAATGTGCTATGGGGTGCTGTGCCTGGGGTCAGGCTGCGGTTTGTGGTGGGGAAGGGGAGTAAGCACAGCTGATATTGTTAGAAGCTGAGCCAAGCAGGAAGGTTGTACCGTGTGCCCTAAAGGACTCCAGGTTCACCCATTTACTTCTGGAAGCTTGTTCCAGAGCTGATCCACTTGGCTGGCAATGTTTTGGTTGGGTTTGCTGTTTTTTTTTTTTTGCAATTTGCCTCTCTCAGAGGGTAAAAAACAGTTCCCTGCCGCATTGGGGTTTTCTGGGGATAAATCTCCCAGCAGGAACAGCATCGCTGTGAGCTGTCTGTCTGAGCATTTATCTCTAGACCCTGCTTGGATCTATGCATCCCGATGCAAGCAGCCACAGGATCAAGTGAACACGTGAGGGCCTGATTTCCCCTTGCCTTGTTCTTTGCAAAGTCATTGACACCTGGTGCAGAACCACAGACCTCCTCCCCAACCTCCACAGTACCCCTGGATTGTCCATGGCCATCTAACACACACAAGGTTTCCTCTCTTTCTCTCTTAGGATCAAGTGTGGGTCCTGGTTTTAAGGCGATACTCTGCTCAAGCCAGCTGTGGACCTGGGGAAGCTCATCTGGAATTCCCTGGTAAGTGGATTGCTTTGGGAAGGATCTATAAGCTCTCAAAGCCGGGGCACATCTCTATCACAGGCACGCAGTCATGATGTAGAGAGCATGAGTTCTTCTAAGCCATGTATTTATGGACTGGGTATAAGACCGGGTTGTAAGAATACAAGCTCCCACAGTTATGTTTTATGTTGCAAATGTATCTAGAGCAGGGATTAGGTACCGGGTCTGCTAGGCTCTGTTCCCATCCCTGCTGTTTACTTGGGCCAGCCCACCCGAAGGTTTTTAGGTGCCTCATTTCCATGGTGCTTGGGGCTTGGACTGCATTATGATCTCTCCGTCCTGCTACGCTAGATTCTTGTTTCCGCTCAGGCCCCTAGTGGGATGGGGCCTTAAAATGCATGGGCCTGTAGTTTACACCTGCTTGAAAGTCTCTCTTCTATATAGCCAAGGCATTTGTGTGTCCCCAGTACAGCATTACGTGACCACCTTTGTGATGGATTTATCCATACAACCCTCCTGGGCTGTGGGGCAGTGGAAACAAATTTGTTTCAGAGCACCCAGGGATTCAGCAATGGAGTTTGGGATTTAGCCAAGGGAAGAGCCATCCCATGGTAGGAGAATCAGTCCTACTGTGTCCAGGCTTTCCCACCTGTGAAACAGGTGCAGCGGTTGCCCAAAGCCTGTGTGAGAGAGTGAGTGGGATTTGGAGGTCCTGGGATCATAGCGGGGCAGTCTATAAGAAGCACGTCTATTCTGCCTTCTAATTGACTTCCCATTCAACATGGCAAACTGCATCTTTCCGCTGTCTGTGCCTCTTTCCTTTCCATCTGCCTGTCTTCTGTATTTCTGCACTGTTTAATCCTGATGCTTGAAAAGTCATGAGAGACTGGACTGGCAGACATGAGATTTTTAAAGTAATAAGTGGTGGGGCTTTCCACCCTTCCTTCCTTGTAGCTTCTATGCCTTTAAGGTGAATTCATGGCAAGATTTTGAGTCTTTCTCCATGACAACCTGGACTTGAAACTTGCATTTCATGGGAGAGGAAAAAAAGGAGGTTTTTTTTCCCCCCTATAACTCAAGTCTAGGAGCTGAGGTGCTAAGAAACCCTCCCCAAATATGAGCCAGTTGAACTGAAAGAGTTGGTAATGGGCAGACAGAATCATTCTTCTCTTTGAAGAAATAAAGGCACCCGATTCCTGTTTTCACTGAGGACCCAGTTTCACCCCTCTGGCAGCAGAAAGTGCTTTGAAAGTGGATGTAAGTCACAATTTATACTACTTTTAAGGTTCTTTTTTACTGTCAAAAGGGCCTCAGTATCAATGAGATGCAGACGCAAACGCTGCTGTGAAAGAGGGAGATGCTTGTGGTGGTGCAATGGCATCTGAATATAAAGAGATAGTCAGGAGCATGGGTCTACCTATCTATAAAGTGATTAACAGATGAGTGATCAATCAAGAGCGTGAATCTACCTCTCTGATCACTCATTTGTTAATCACTTTATAATCTACTAGCAAGGTATAGGGACTATGGACAGTATCAACACGTAACGTGTACAAGCGCCGATGGATCGCATCCAGGCAGGGGTTTTTCACCCCCTCTGGAGGTAAGGGCATGTGAGCAGGTGTTTGTTGGATTTTTTTTTTTTTTTTTTAGCTCCAAAAGAAGTTAAATTTGAAGGTGACAGTGGAGAGGATTCCCACAATTGTGGGTAGCCCTTCTTCTCGCAGGCTCTTCAGAGTTTGACCCCAGTAAAAGGTTGCTGCGGCGGTGGGGGGAGTGGGAAGGGAAGGGGAGATGGGAATGGACTGAAGTCTGGGTCTGACCATAGACAGTGCTTTTATTAATGAGGCACAGCTGAGGCAGGTTCTTTGCCAGCGGCCTAGCTTGATTCACAAACTCCTCATTGTTTTAGAGTTGGTTCAGCGTGTTTTTTCTCCCCCCTTCTTCTTTCCTCTTTTCTCTCCCTCATACAAAGATGTCATTGTGCTGGGAACTTGGTGGTGGCAGCGTTGTTATTTGGGCCAAAAAAAAAGAGAGAGAGAGAGAGGAGAGAGAAGAAAGAAAGGAAAGGGGGGGGGAACCCAACAAGGTGAAGAGGTTTAAATCAGCTTATCCCAAATGCCAATTAAAAACCGAAGAGGATTAGTCCTTACGATCAGGAGAATAGACCATCATTGTACGACTGGGAGTCTTTTTTGCTTTCCCAAGTCTATCTCACTAAAATTTCCTCTGTCAATTGTCATCTCTTTCCTTTCGTGTCAGGATGGAGAGAGATAGAGGGCTGATACCTCAGCTGCTGCTCTGTCCATTGGATTCCTTAGATCACTTCAGAACCTGGCCCTCGAAGCGTATGGGTTTCAGTGCAAAGCTAGAGAGGTTTTGCCTGATGGGAAGGGGATTTTTTTTTTCTTTTAACCTATGCATGCATCCTCCTGTCTTGGCTTGAGGTTGACGGCTTGAGCATGCAAGTTTTACTTCCCTGCCCCAAAGGCACTGCTTGCAGAGGCTAAGCTCTTAGTTTGGATGCTATCTTGTGGCCTGGAGTTCCTCGGCAAAACGATGCTGCGTCACAATGAAGAGATGACGGGGACTTGTTTGTCCCTGGGTCAGTGGAAGGCGTCTGGCTCTGGTGTCCTGGAGTTGGCTCCTTTTAGCAATTTTGTCATTTTGGTTTGTGGAGGCAACCAGAGGCAGATCAGACCCCTGGGAGGTCTGTGCCAACCTAGCAAGAGGCAGTCTCCTGCAATAGGAGATCTGATCTAACATGCCAAGTCGCAAATCTTTTAACACACAGTGTTATTTTAAATTGATTTAGCCCAGCTGGCTGGGTGTGTGCAGACTTGCTTTGGTTCTCACCTGCTTTCGAGCAGCGCAGACAGAAACGAAGCCATCAGAAGCCAGAATCAAGGGGCGCTTGTACACGTTGCGTGTTGTTTAGATACACGTCATGAAACAGTGCCAAAAATCGCCATTTTGCATGTGAAAATACACGCTGATATCTCTTTATCACGGTAGGTTTTGACTTACCAGCTGGCAGGGAAACTGGGGTCTTGTTTTTTGCCTTTTTTTAAAAAATGCCCCTATTTGTGTTCACTTTCCACAGCCACTTGTGCTGCAAAATTGTATTGGCACAAATACTGGTAGAAACCCAACTTCCAGCTCATGGCAGGAAGTGAATGTTAAGTTTTCTCTCTGTCTCTCATTTTTTTTCCCCATGAGAATTCACACCAGCAGCTCAACTGTGAGTTTACACACTTTCATTTTTGGGAACGGGAACAATGCCGTGTGACTTGCAGAGCCCGTGTCACCAGAGATCAGATGCTGGCTATTGACTGTGGGAGCACGACGCTGGGGAGAAAATGAGGTGATAATGGTCTCGAGATGCTCACCCTGGCCCCTTCTGGTTTTAAAACGCGATGAATCTAGAAAAGTCACAAATGACTCATTTTGAATACATTTGGGGCATGTGCAATGTGCTCGTTGACATTCTGCCAACTGAAAGAGGCAAAAAACAGCAAGTGAACGATGTGGGTAGAAACTGTTCACTTGGCCTGTTCCCCTTCAGTGGGCAACAAGCCTAAATAGAAGGTAGCTCTAAGAAGAAACTTATGGGTTATCCGTTGTACACGAGAGGTCTTCTCCAGCAACTAATGGGGCTGTGTATAGACCCTGAATCACATCCGCAGCTGTTGTAAATCAGAGTTCCTTCATCCAAGTCTGCTACATCCATTTAAACCAGCCTGGGGGCTGCCTAGCTCTCTCTGTTGATGGACCATTAAATTGCTTGCTATTATATATAAGAAAATTGTCTTGCACAGATGGTTTCATGCCAGCTGGAGAAGTGTGGTCAGAAACTCTTGGGTTTCTTCCTGGTTTTGTCACAGACTCTCTCTCTTTTTTTTCAGGGTGGGGGGTGTTGGGTTAAGTTACTTCACTTATCACGTGCTTCATTTTCCTCATCTATTAGTAGGGTGGTTGTAGGGTTTGGTTCAGGATTCCTCTGTGAAGCTCTTTGTGAACCTTGATGGAAGGCGATCAAGAGGCATGAGGAGCTTTGAGTTGGTGAAAATAAATGCTGAGGACCATGTTTGTCTTGTCTCCATCCTTGGAGGTGTTTAAGACCCGGGTAGATAAAGCCTTGGCTGGGATGATGTAGTTGCGGCTGGTCCTGCTTTGAGCAGGGGGTTGGATTAGATGTGACCTCCTGAGGTCCCTTCCCACCCTCATTTTCAATGATTCGATGTTTCTTTTGGTGTTGGATCTCACAGGTTAAAAGCAGTGGGCAGGAGCAGCTGCTATCTCTAGTGTCCGACCACTTCCACATCACAGGCCCGAACTAATCTCCCCCTAATTCTGCCTCCAGCCTATACTTTTGTGGCCTCTTGTAGAAAGGGATCCCATCTTCAGGAACCCCACCCCATCCCTTGGGGAAAATCATTCCAATGGCTAATGACAATCATTGCTAAAACATTGCATCTTACCTAAACTTATCCAGTGTTAACTTCCAGCCCTTGCCCCAAGAGTTTGGGTAGCTGTATCACCAACCACTAAACAATGGAAAGAGCTTTTTGCTTGTTATTTGTATTGCATTAGTCTCTACAAGCTTATCTTTAGTTGGGGTCCTGCTGGGCCAGTCTCTGCCCCAGAGAACTAATATTTTGAATAGGAAAGCAGACAGAACGGTGTAGGGGGAACAAAAGATCCTGGAAAATGGCATTGGTAGCATTAGAGTCAAGGTCTACACAGTGTAAAGAACTCAATGGCAGGACTATTTTTTTTTCTTTCTTTCATATGACAAAAACCAGTGTCCATACCTTTGTCTTTGTCCACTTTGGCATTTTTGTCGATTCAGGAGCTCTTGGCCATCAGAGACATTACCAGGGATCACTACATGGAAGTGGCTCTTGTCGATCCCTGCAGGACTAGGTGACTTTGTGAGATCCCTTCCAGGTCGCCTTTCCTGTGATCTCTAAATATCTTGCACTTCCCTCTGAAACAGCTGGTGCTGGCAAGTGCTA